GAAGCACAAATATTGAGAAATGGTTATAATACGATAGTCATATTTTTCTAATGATTGGCTTCCATCATCCATATCAATTCTTCTTCTTGTCGAACTTCTTGTGTGCTCGAAGAGTTTTCTTTGATGCTAGCTTCTTGCTTGCACGAGAGCGCATTAGTTCTGGCGAAGCTACTGCATCTGGGATCTTTCCAAATGGGTGGAAGCCGAAAGACTTAGAAAGATGACCACCTTCAGAAACTATATCTGTTTGGGAGCTGTGGCCGGATTCTGAAAACAGTTTTTTGCGAAAATGGTAATGTATATGAGAGAAAGGTAAGATATAGACCTTTAACATAGGTCTTCTTTACGTTTCTCAGTGCAGTGAGAGGATAGTAAAGTGGGTAATTCTAGAAAACACTAGATGAAGCTATAACTGGTGTCTTTTGAAGACGAAAAAGGCTACCGATGCATAAGGGATAATTGGATAGGGCTGAGGCGGCAGAAGAGCTGAAGCTGGAGCAACAGCTCCAGGAACTGCAGCCGTTGGCATAGCTGGAGCAACATGAGCAACTGAAGCTGACGCCACGGCTGGTGCTACATTGGCAATAGGAGCGGATGCTACAACTTGAGCTGTAGGAAGTGGTTGAACGGGCACATGGGAATCTCCTACAGCACTTCCAGCGGATTCTTCTAAAAAGGAATAAATTTTTTCATAAGTTTAATCCGAGATATAGTTTTTCTATGCTCACCAGTTTCAAGCTCGGCAGGAAAGCTAGCATGAGATCTAAAAGGTTTTAGGATTTAATTCTAATTGAAGTTACCTTCCAAAATACACTCCATATTGTGCTTATTTGGTGTACATATTTTTGGCGATAATGCTCAACAGAATTTTCATTACTCTCATCAAGAAAGACCTTTTCAAAATTTTGTTTTATATAAATCTGCTATGTTTCCTCCAGTGGTAGTCAAGCACTATTTGAATTATGAAATAGGCCACCAACCTGTGAGCTAGGAGAAAGAGGATACCGAAGAGATAGTAGAAACCTGCCATCGCTGCTACTGATGACCCTTCCTTCTCATTCATCGTATTTATATCGTTACCCTTCCAAATGTAATGGTTTTTTCCATAGTTTTTATAACACTTTCCAAAGGCTGTTCTTCTTCAAGTGTCGTCTTTTTACATGTTCAAGAATATGTACTTGCTAATAAAGTTGCAATGGCTTTTTCTCTATAATCGATAACTCTGATGTTTCTTATGTATGCGAATAAAAACTTTGATGCTACAATGCATAAGCACGACAGTTTGCAAAATTTCTTGATTTGTCCTCTCTCACCCATTGCCGAAGCCACTCAAAGTGGTTAGCCAGACACAGGCCTCGGCACGAGGTCTCCGATTGAACCTTACGAGAACGAATACCCGCTTGAAAATTCAGAAACTTACGAAGTTCCCTTTGTAACCTGTACAAACGCGTGCAATCAGGATAAGCACTGCAGTGCCGT